TCCAAAAAATGGAGGGGGTCCCAACGAGATCTTTGCGCCGTACAACGTAACTCGTCGCGCTGATTCTGAATATGCAAAAATCTCGGTTGACGCATCTCTAGAAAAAAACCATCAAATTTTGATATGTTGCGAGAAACTAATCAAGTTTTAGGTTCCATCGGTGCACTCGGTTCCCAGGCTGCCAATGCATGGACAATATTGTTTGTTCAGGTAGATTTAGAAGAGTTCAGCAGTGAGAGTAGGGGAGGGAAGCGGTTTGGATATTGGTCGCTGGAGTGGAAGAAGTGAGAAAAATTCGGCACGTCCATATTTCGAAGGCCACGAAATAGATGATGTTGTCCAGCATCGAGAGGAATTTGTCAAGCATTTCCTGGGGAAAAAAGACGACTATTATCGACTTGCCGAAGACAACCCACCCAAATGGATTGAACCGAATACTTCCAAACGAACCATTTTGCTTTATCACGATGAGAGCACATTTCGAAGTGGAGAGGTCGGTCCAAGACGATAGATCATTGACGATACAGTGCCATTTTTCAGTAAGGGAAAGGGTCGGAGCCATATGTTGTCAGATTTCTTGGTGCTCCATCCATCGTCTCCATATTTTTATTTGTGTCCATCGGAATGGAAAGCTGCAGTAGCAAAGTATCCAGAGTTGGCACAGGAAAGTGATTTGACGTACGAGAAGGCTTCGCCATCCGCTTCGATTAATATTGGTGGAGATCTGTACATGGATAGTGTGTTGGTGCTTGAGCAATTTGAAAGATTATTTCAGATGGCTCAGTTCAAGGAGGAATACAAGGGTCAACGGATTGAAGTGCTCGTGGATAACGCTCGTACGCATACGTCAAAATATTTCAGCATTTCGGATTTTAGTATGCAACCGGCTGCACGAAGTCGAAGTCACGTTCGGTGTATTGAGTTTTTGGACGAACACAACAAACTTCAAAAATCCATTGTTTCTATGCCAGTGGTCCAGAGAAAGAGAAATCGAGAGGTCTTTTGAATATTGCACTTGATTTGGGCTTGAGGGTTCCAGTGGGCTGCAAGTTAAAGGATCTACAGTTGTTGGTTTCCAGCCATAAAGCTTTCAAAGATGGCACAAAACTGGAAATTCTTGGGCGTAAGTATGGTATTTCGGTTCTTTATAGTCCAAAGTACCATTGGGGGTTAAATCCGATCGAGGGATACTGGTGTCATCTCAAGCAGTTTGTAAGAAAACAATGACCAAACCTCCAATCGGATGATTGTGTTAATTGGAGAGGCGACGTTGAATTTTCAGGCGCGAAAAATCCAGGAAAAATTGTTTCGACGATTTTGGAAAACGTTGCATGCATGTGAGAATGGACAGGACTATAAGCAGATGCTCCAGCTCTTATCCTAACTGGTGAAAAAAATTGTTTTTCAAAAATATGAAGGCGTTTTGCATCCATGAAAAGGCATGATTCCTGTAGAGTCTTTCTCCACTACAAAGCCTTATATTCAGATAGTTCTTATTCGAAACAGGAAGCTGTTTCTTTCACCATAAGTAAGCACCTTAGCAAAAACCAAAGAAACGCGCTCGTATTTTGCAGTTTTCACCCTAAAACTTCCATTTATTTGCAAAATGAATGTCATATTTAGAATGAATTACGCGCGCCTTACTTTCTTCACGTTTTCTACACATAGTTTTGACAGATAAAGGAATTAAATCCCGTATATAGCAAAGAAGATTTTGAATTTCAAAATGCCGTGAAACGTGTTGGCGAAAAATGTGAAAATGGAGGTATGCTGACCTGCATTTTCTCATTATTTTTAACACCCAAATTCTAAACTCATTAGGTACCTCAGGTTTCTTGTCTATATCTAGAAATCTAGTTCTATACTCTGAGTACGTTCAGAAAAGTCTCTTGAGCCATCTCTAAAAAAGACTTTAAGTTTTCCGATCCAACTCTTTTTTAACTATTTTCCATCCTATTCCAGTAGAAGATTTGTAGGCGACCTGTCATACGAAAATTTGGGCATACACTCACTTCAAAGTAAAAAACCAAGACATTTACCTGACATTTTATGAAATGTCATTTATCCATTTTGCCACCTCACATTTATTCAGACTAAATCCATCTGAAATATCACATCAATACGGCAACTTTCTTCGCCTGCTCTTCATTTTTCATCACAATGATGATAATTCTATCAATTAACTTAACCTTACCAAATAATCGACAATTAAAATCTCGTCGTTGTTATATACGAATTAGCACCAATGATTACGATAATTTAAAAACAATTATGAGCAATTAAAACTTTTTAAATCAATTAAAACTTCGATGAAAAAGAAGAAAGAATTAGATAAAATCATTAATTTTGATTTAAATGAAAGTTTGCTTTTAAGTAGAGATATCTCCTTCTCCTTCTTGCCTTTCTGCTTCTTTATTAAAGGAGAAAATTATGCTCTACAACTTGCTAAGAAAAAATGGATCAGTTCCGATTCATCAACACGTTAATTGATTTTCCTATTTCATCGACATTTTATAATGTCGGCTTCTCACTAACATCATTTATCTCCTTTCCTAATGTTGTCAACGAGTTAGACGAAAAATTAATTCATCGGAGAATAGAGACGATGAGTAATAAATGACAAAATTAAAAGTGTTAATGATATGAAGGGCAAATTTATCTGAAATATCCCATCAATACGGCAACTTTCTCCTTTTCATTTAAGACTATTCTGGTTTTATAGAGCACATAAAATTACTTTACAAAATGTTTCTTCTGACTGCATAGCTGATGCAGAACCCGAGAAAAATGACTTTTACATTCCAAGCGACCATTCAAGAGCTTACCATATCAGAATTTGGATGGCTTTCATTTAAATCAAAATTAATAATTTTATCTAATTCTTTCTTCTTTTTCATCGAAGTTTTAATTGATTTAAAAAGTTTTAATTGCTCATAATTGTTTTTAAATTATCGTAATCATTGGTGCTAATTCGTATATAACAACGACGAGATTTTAATTGTCGATTATTTGGTAAGGTTAAGTTAATTGATAGAATTATCATCATTGTGATGAAAAATGTAGAGAAGAGCATTTTTGTTATGTCCTTTCTTCTTCAAATGAACAATGAACAGTTGCTTTTGTGTAAAAATGCGTGTCTAACTCCTTTACTCTATTCTGTAATAAGAAGGTCATTCAGTCTATTGTGATCGTTTTTTCGTTACTGTAGGTTTAGAATCACTAAAGCATTTGCTTTCTAAGCGTGTAACAGCACATCCATTAAAAGTCAATATGAATTTTTTTGTAATTTTTCTTTTAATGTTTTGCTGTGAAAACTCATAGTATTTTCTTTTTGTGGTGAAAGAAAGAACAAAAAACTCTGTTTCAACAGAAACCGTAATCGTTTAGTCGAACCATCACAGCTCATGGCGGTTGAAAAAAAGTAGTTGCAATCTATCGATAATCCAGACTACGACTTCAATCATGAGTTTGCATGTACACTCATTTACTCCTCACTATGACTTCAACGTATAGGGTGCTTTTCGTGTTTAATTTGGGTATGAAGTATATTTAATCTGAAAGAGCACAGTAGAGATATTGGACAGCGATGAAAATAAGGAAAATATGCTTTTTTCGAAGCAGCAAAATGAAGCTTTAAAATGCTGTTGGTGTTTTTTTTGCTCCTGATTAGAAAAAATGAACTTTCTCAATAACAAAGTCAAATAAAAATAAAAGCAATACATACTATCAATGCTCGTTTAATAGCAGTTATAATGAAATACAAACGTCAGCTTCGTCTAGAATCTTTTTATAGTGTACAAGGTAGCGAATTGAATTTGACACAAAATGAAACTAGATCGTTTTCGTTTACAGAGAAGGATTTAAAGTCACATCATTGTTATTTTATCTTCTAATATCTTAATTCGTTTATCTTGTTCTTGTATAACCTCTAACAATTTCACACACATTGTTTGCGCGATACTACCATCATGGGGTATTTGAGCAAAACATTGTTTCAGATCATGCGGTGGTTGAATTTTACTGTAACGATTTGAATAGAATTGTTGACACAGCGGGCACTGTTGCTGTTCATATACACATTGTTGTTCATGGTTTTCAATCGAATCATAGTTTAATTGTTCTTGACAACCATTTTGAGCGAAAGCACATGAAAATATTAATTTTGACAGAAATGTATTTAATATTGGTGGCACACGCTTTTGTTTATATTCGCATTTGAACGGGCATAATTTCACTGGATTTTGTTGTTTAGTTAACCATGTTTGAATACAAGAAGAACAAAATGAATTTTCACAGGATGAACAAGATACGGGTTTCCAAAGAATATTGTGACAAATAGTACATAAATATTCTTGATCAACATTAGTGGTGGTCGTTGTAAAACTTTTCCTGTAGTATTCTTGTGGATCTGGTTTACGCCCTCTGTGGTTATTTGGTTGACTATCATTAATAACTCTCGATGAATCCAAATAGCCCAGCTCGACCGTTGACTGAAGTTGAATACGTTGCACGGGTTTCTACAAAAACTGTATGTTTATAACTGATTTAGTTGCAGATTTTGTAAACGTATCCTAGACGTGGAATATTTTTGTGGCATGCCCTTCTCGTCTCCAGATCCCTTATACGTATTAAGTATATTGATGGATGAACGTTACTTTGAAAGAAAGATAGAAGAAAAATGGATCACTGTTTGGACCCGAATCACGAACGTTATTTGTTACTCTGCCGGTGTCAAAAGATTCCAAAACAGTTCAACTTGTAACCCGATCAAAAGGTTTTACAAAAATAAGGACGCATTAGGATAGGTCCTTAAAAATATTAGGCAAAATCTGAGTGTATAGAGAGTATCTGAGAATATAGATGTGCCAGATTTAGTTGAAATATATTCAGATGAATGCTCAATAGGTGAATAGGTCTTTCTCAGTTTAATCTTCTCCTCAATTAGTTCTGTCACTCTTACAACATTTATAATACTCGAAATTTTGTAATACCAGTTCATCGATCACCCACAATAGTTTTTGAATAAGGTAGATATTTATTCAAAATAACAACGTCTCCTTACAACTCATCTGGTCAGAATCACCAAATGTGAAGAAAAATTTTAAAACCTTCTCCCGCCCGGCGAGTGGAACGCAGAACTCCGATCAACTGCGTCGAAACTCTAACGTAGTGAGCTACTAATCCACAGGCGGCGTAAGGAAGTATATTCATTCGCTCTAATAATCATGTTTGGGAGTTTGAACCTGTGCTGAAAGAAGTTCTTAAACGTGAACTTACCTTCCATGCCATGTTTGATCGATTCGACATTGATACCTTTGTTGGCTGCAGTAATATGTTTCTTTTGAAAAAGGCTTTTCTTTAGATGTCAGGTAAAAGTATAATGGAAAAGGAGAAAATTTTTTACTTTTAATAAGAGAAGTGAATGAAAAGAGATTTTTCTTTGAAAAAAATCTAATGAAAAAACGTCGCCAAAAACAGCAACAAAAACACACCGAACGTGATAAGCGACAGCTGTTCTTTAAGTACTGTAATAATAGACGTACACAAATACTCGCACATGCAAAAATAAATTCTAGAAAACAAATAATTGAGGATACAGAACAAATTTATTTATCGTTTGTTCACTTAATCGCATTTGATTAAACTAAAACAAGATGAACAGACTGAATCTGCACCGTAAATAATGAGTCACTTCTACAAACAAATTTTTTCCACTGCTGTGTCACGTCTAGAATTATATGGCGCTAAAACACTTGCACGAAAGCTATGAAATAGTTCAGGCTTTATATACATTTTACTCTTATATTATAAAATTATGAAATTATATCTGACAGTAATGTTTCGTCTAACTTGTTTTGCCATCATTGTGCCATGTTCAAGAGTATATGTACCACCGGTAATTGCTATTATCTGTTCAGCTGTTTCTGACTTTGTTTTTATTAATAGTTGCTGATAGAAAAAGTCATAATGATTTGATGCTGATGCTAATTATTGTGATTAATTCGCCAGGTTGATTTCAAAATTGAGAGATAGTGTTGTCATTCTACATACGTTGAATTTTAATAAACAAATATCAGTAATGATTACAATAAGAATCATCTCATAATAAATTCCACTTTGTCCGTGTATAAAAATATAATATTGCAACTGTTACCTTCATTTTTGCATACACTTAGCATCAAAATAGTTTTCGTCAGAATAGTCTCTATGTACCAAAAGTTTCAGCTTCGTACAAGGTTTCCTTAGGATTTGGCAGATTTTCTAGTGGCCACCTGGAGATCTCCAAAGATTCACCCAACTCACCTCTGCGCCAGGCACTTAAAAAATTGAAACATATTCGATCTAAACCAGTTTTCGACGCTGAATCCGAATATGTAATCAAAAGTTTTCTCTAGTCTTTCTGGAAAACCAGGAGTTTCCAGAAAACTTTTCCAAAACTCTGGCTCCAAAAAGGGTTTTTGTTCGCGACAGAATAATGAAATGCGTGTTTCTGAGTGACACTAGGCCATTTGTAGGGGATAGGGGATGCTGCACCACTCTCTACGGTTCGAGTTTTTATGATATTTTTCTATTACTGTGCAGTGATAAAAAATAATGTGTTATTTATAGGATCGTTGGCCGCAACAACATGCTTTGTGCGTGGATCTCTAGAATCAAATACGTCGAGCCAAATAATTTCGTCAGGAATCAGGCCGCTATGAGTGAGTGGTTATGTTGTTCGGCACGTACTTCAAAGCAGAGTTGTAACCGGTCTGGAAATACTAGACCGGTCCGGTCAGTCATCGACCGGTCTAAGAATATTTTCAGACCGGTAAAAATCGGCGAGTTGGAATTCTAATATTAAAAAACCAACCAATATTTTCAAGATTGAGTTTCTTCTGCATGGGATAAGGTTCCTTCCCACAAAAGTCGATATTTAATTTCCATTTCTTTTGTTATTTCGTTCAAATTTACGCGAGAAAATGTATGTTTCCAATATATACATACATTTTCTCGTGTATACTTCTATGCATACTATACATAGAAGTAATAAAGTCAAATGAATGGTAAGATCAAAAATGAATGGTAAAAAAAAGAAGAAAACAAATTGAAAGAATAAAAAGAAAAAATTTACATTTCAAATAAAATTGTCACTCTCTCTTTCTTTTAAAAAACTACTAAGCACCCATACATGGTACCTTTCTGATGAAAAATGAACGAATATGTACAACTTTGTGAAACCGGTAAAAACCGGCCGGTCCAATTCACTCAACCGGTCCGGCCGGACCGGTTACAACTCTGCTTCGAAGATACCGTGTTCGAACCTCGGCGCCACCCATTCATAGAATAATCTTGGACACGTTACTAACGGCTATTGTCTCGGATCACCTGTCCGATAGCATACTCACTACGTTGTGACATATACCGGTACTTTGGTGCTAGTATGTTTTATTATTATTTATAGCGCTAAATTAAGCAGGTTGACCATTTAGGTCCTGACTGCTATCATTAAAAATTCTTCACATAGTAATAATAAAATTATGATTATCTATTACATTAAAGAAAAGAAAAGATTTGAAAGTTTTCGCACTTAATTCATTACGGGACTCATCTACATACAAAAATTTAACAGCTTATCAAAAAAAGTTTCACAATCGTTGGAATAAAAATTAACTAATCTCGCACTTGGCCTGCCTGTTAGGAGACTTTTAATAAAGGGTTTTTCACAAAAATGTCTGCGACACGCGGCTATGATATTTTTCTCTAGTAGCACATTTTCTAGAAATGACGATTCATACAATTGAATGCTCTTTAACCTCTTTTGCAGACAAGTTTTAAATTTCTTTTCGAGCGTTGTTAGACCGAAAACTGAATGTAAGTCATCTGGGGAACAACGAAAGATACAAAAAATCATGCGGAGACAGCGTCTATAGAACTGACTAACGCGGTTTTGAGCAGCTTGTGAAAAAAGACAGTAGATAGTAGAATGAGATACATGTGTGGCCATATGTATGTATTGAAAAATTTCATCTTTAACCGAAAAAAGGTAGGAAATTCTTTATGGATGTATTTTAAAATAGCATAAGATCGCCTCAGCTTAACGAACTGGGTATCGAGCATGTATCTAAAGCATAGCTTGGAATCCAGAAGGAAACCTAGATACTTAAAAAGTTTCGACTGCTTAAATAATACATTGTTGAAATAGATTTTTAATTTTGGACATTGCACTGTTTTGTAGTACACCACTAGTTCCGTTTTCGATATATTTACTGGTTGGTGCCAGTCATCTGCATATTTCTTTAAACGCCGCATATCTTCGTTGATGCGCTCCTCAATGTCTGTTACTTGGTGACAAAATTTCATAAATATATTTGGATAGTACACATTGCTCAAATCATCGACGTAGAGGTGTGAGTTGTCTGGCTGTTGGAAAATATACGGTAGATCGCAGTTACTGACAACGTATAGCCTGGGGCCAAGACAGCCCCCTTGCGAAGCTCCCCTTTCGATGAAGATTTCATCTGATATCACGGAGCTATAATCAATTCGCAATTTTCGATCTGTGAAATAATGGGTGATCCATATCAAATAGGCAAATGGACATTCCATTCGATGTAGCTTTAATAACACGCCTGCTGCCATAGCATGTCAAACGCTTGCAGGAAGTCCACAAAAACAACAGGAGTGAAGGTGTTATAACGATATGACTGTGATAACTGTTCTAATAAAAAGTTGACTTTTGATGTAATCGACATATGGGATCTAGATCCTGCTTGCTGAGGAGGGAGCACATTTTTTTCTTCTAGCCAGTGGTTGAATCTTAGCAAAAAAAGTTTTTCG